CGTTCTCCTCATTTCTTCTCAGGGATCTCTCCTCAAGCTGCTTAGAGTAACAAAATCTTGCTACAGCTTTAAAAACAAGCTGGGGAGAGTATTTTTGAAGACTGTAGCAGGGAACTGGGAGAAAGCCGTAGTCTTGGTATGCTGTTATTTTGAAGAAGCAAAAAAGTCTTTGTCCTACCTGAGGATAATTGGCAAATGCCTGAGAGATCATGCAGGGGATTCATGTTGTGTGATAAGGGGAGAAATTACCTTGGATGACAGATACTACAGAGACTCAGAACTCACCGTCTGCAAAATTACCACCAGCAAAAGCATGTGTGTGATACCAGCTGAGAGAGTTCACAGTCCATGGGGCTGCTGGAGCGTGCGATGAGCGTACAGGTCGATGTGTGGTGGCATCTGCTGTGCCCATGGCTGTAACGGGCTGAGGGCTGCACACCTTTTGTCCAGTCTCTACTGAGGCAGAGGGAACTTCAAGTGTGGTTGGACCCCAGTTCTGAGCACAGGGATGTTGTCCTGTTTTTGAATGCACAGGGCATCTTCCTCTGAAACTCTGAGACTGAAGTCTGGAGGGTGGGATCTTGCTCTGTTTGGGACTTGCAAATGAGATGAAAAGGACTACCAAGGCACATTTTGTTGGACTTGTCTTCAAAACAGTCTTGTATGTGGACTCCATGTGCATCAAAACCAGTTAGTCTGGATAATGCACTTTGGAGTTTTTTAAGATTCACATCAAGGAAATAGAAATTGCAGAAATGATTGACATAAATGTTCGTTCTTATGGATGTTTCATTACTCCATAGATAAGTTGGAGCTATCAAAGCTGAGCTGAGTAGGAGGACCCCATCACACTGGACCTGTTTATTCATCCCTTTTTGTTCTACAGGTTGGGGAAAACCAGTCCCCTTAGAGATTTAAAACCTCTACTGTATTTGAATGCTTTGAGGATCCAAGAGGCTGTTATGTAAAGCTTTATGTCTGTTTTTTGTGTTTGTGGCAGGGAGGGAATGTCAGGCACAGCAAAACCATTTTGGTTCAGGAAATTAAATTCAATTTAGTATATTGCCAATAAAGATAAGGACAAACAATTAAATAAACACAGAAAACACACCGCATCTTCCCTGTGGACACCTCTTAAACTCCTTCCTGGTCTCCCATCCCCTCACCACGGGTGGCACTCAGAAGATGATGGTCAGTGCCTGTGGTGTGGCTTCTTTTTTTTTTTTTTTTTTTTAATGCTCAAGTCCTCCAAAGGCCAGAGTCCCCTCACTGTTATACCTGCCCCCATGTCTGCTATCTGCTCCTGCTTGGGCAACTCTTTGCTCCAGCCCCTGCTCGGGTGTCATCTCCTGTGTCTCTTTTTTTCTCCAGCCCCAATCCTGGTCTGTTCTTCTGTCTGCTCAGGGTAGTCCCTGACCTCGTCCCACACAGTGCGCTCACTACCAAGACCCTGTCAATTTAGCCCAGTATGCAGGAGGAAGGGAGAGGGGTGTGTAATTTTAAAAATATTTTTAGCATCATTAATGCACCATAAGGTGCAGCAAGTAGGACATCAACTAATGTTGTAGAAGTTCATAGCTGCTTTTCAGTGGCGTTATTGTTTTTACAGTACCTAAGACAACAGAATCCCAGCCTTGAGAAGTTATGGATATTATGGCAATGAAAATAACTTGACTCACGGTAAACAAACAACACGCGGGGAAAGAAATAAGAGGAAGGAGGTCTTCAGCACTAGTGTTGGTGTGATTTGGAAGTACCAGACACGTCAAAGAACAGATACTTTTTTTTTTTTTAAAAAAAAGCAAATATTAATTATGGATTAGCAAGGAAAGTTCTTTCTAACCTTCTGTACTAACTTAAGTTTCTTTTGTGAAAGCTTTAATTAGTCTAGCATATGGAAAAATGAAATCTTAGGTTCTTATATTCAGTAGTCTGCATTGTTGAAAACACTCCTAAGCCTAGCCTAGGACTGATGATGTATCAATGAATGGTTATCTGTATCAATGAAAAAAACTGGTGTGACTCTACCTGCTTAAGTGGTACTTCTCATGCTTCTTAGTCCTCACATTTCCACTCAAGTCCAAGAGGACTTAACACTTAATTTCCTTGTAGTCTGTGTTTGACCATTGTAATGTTGCAGCCTAAGTAAATTACGAGCAGCAGCATATTAGCCTTAATGTTTCTGCCATGCCTGAGTGGACATTTCTAATAGTCAAACTGTGTTACTATGGCATTCTGTTAGTTTCTTTTCTTTTTGTTCAGCATCAGGATATTTCTGGAAAAATGAATGACTCCTCTTTGTAATTAGTGTCTTAGTAATTAGTGTCTTAGTTCCTATTAATGTCTTTAACTGGTACTAAATACTTTCTGATAATGAAAGAACAACAAGAGAAAGCTGAACGAGGAAGAGAAGACAGAGAAGAGTAAGGAACTAATAGGAGCTTTTTTATGGGATTGTTTTTTCATATCTAAAGCTGTTCTTTTCTTCCAATCTCAACTCTGTATAGGCAAAAGTAAATTTTTAATTTTTTATATATCTAAATATATATTCTATATGAAAGTAAATTTTTTAATATATATTAATTATCTGAACACTTAGCAATGAAAAAAGGAAACTATTATCCTATTTAACTACTACCAATACTCCTGTAACAAGTACTACTTCAGCTGAATTAATTGAATCTTCCAGATTGGGAGGGTATCATGTCCTGTGTGGATAATGGAAGAACAAAAAGTTTGAGGAAAGATTGACTACCTGAAGTTACAAATCTTGTATGGGTTTTACATATTCCTTTTGTTCGTTTCTGTATGTAATAGCAAATCTAAAATTTAAGTAGCTCTATCATATGTTGCTACAGAAAAGTACAGATGACCTAATTGTACAGCAGGTTTGAACGACTTCAGTGGCACATCACTGACTGATTCTATAACACATTTAGTCCTGTAGACATAAGGTGGCAAAACCATGATTTATCCAGCTAGTTCAATGAAGGAAGCTATGCTACATAGAGTGTAGACAGCTTGTCTTTCAGCAAAGCCATAGTTTCAGTTAAAACTTGGAAAGAAGAGACTGTAACTCTAGTTTATCAGAAGCGCCTAAATAAGCATACTTAAGCTTCGTTTATGCTGTTCCATACCTAGCTGTAGTGTCTATGCCAGACCCGCACATGTGCACTGCAAAGTGCTCTGGTTTGTCTTTGAGCAATGCTGCTGAGCAGTCAGCAGGAGTACGCGGGCCACCTCGTCACACAAATGCAGGATATTTAGCTGGGGATATGGAAGACTTTTGTGCTGACAGTGCAGGAGAGCAGCAGCTCCGGGCTGACCAACTGAACTTTTACTGACGCTCCCACTTGCTTTAGTCCTGTGGTTTTCGCTTGCCTTTTACATACTGAAATCCTAACCTGTGGTATGTTGAAAGTCCCAGCTGTGTGAGATATTGTGCTGTGACATAATTGGATATCAGTGCTGGTCAAATGTGTATTCATTAACCACATGTCTACAATTTGGATTCAGGTCTTCTTTTGTCTTTTTAGTTAATGTGGTCAGAGTATTTGTTTTCTGCTTTCAATGTCATCCAAATAACTATCAGGCTTCTAAGATTTTTAATTTGATCGGCTCTTTAACTTTCCACAGTTAAAGGACTGATCGCATTGCGGAAATACACATCCCATTACATCTGGATAGCTTAATTGGGAGGTAAATGCAAAATGTATCTCATACTGAAGACAAGAACTAAAGTTTAATTATGACTGAAGAAGTAATTGCAGATACTCTAAAGAGCAGTAAGAATTCTGGTAAAGGTTCTGTTTAAAAATAGGGCTACAAAAGTCACCTTTGCATAACCTTTGTTTGTGTGCACAGGATTGGGGTTGGGAAAACTGCTCCCCAACCTCCTATAGCTTGGTGGTTTAGAAGAAGATGAGTTGGTGCTGAGGGTACAGTGACATTTGTATGGAGGGCTACCACGTGCATTGATCCCCCTGGCCTGCCTTCCTTCTCCTTTAGCTTTCACTGAAACTGTCCGTTCCACTGTCTCTGGTCTCTTCTGTGTCCTTTCTGTCACTTCTTCCGACACCCAACATAGGAGAACACCACATTTTCTGGCAGGATGAGCTTGAAGGAGCCTCCACTTCCAGCTGAGTAATACAGCTCTCCTGTTGAAAGCAGCTGGTCTGAGCTGGTCTTGCTGCCAAGCGGTAGAGATATTTCTGAGAGTTTGCATTTGTAATGAGGCTAGATTGAAACCCTTTGGCTATGAGTACCCCAAATTCTATTTTTTTTTTCCTTTTACCTCGATTTTGGGCAGAAAAATGTATGAAAAACTTACCTTTTCAAGGGAAAGGAGTGCAGGCACAAAGGCTATGTTTTCTTACATCCTGGAAATAGGAGAAAACAAGAGAGTCCAAAAATCTAAAAAGTTAAATCCAACTTAAAGTTCTGGTACTTAATATCTGTGGGATTTGATGGCAACATTCTGTGTAGAATACAGCAATCTATTTGTCACTGAATTTAAACTGGCAACCATATTAGTGATACTAAAATATTTTTAGATTTCTGTGCAATACTGTATGTCCTAGTAATGACCATGGGGAAAATAAGTTCTAAGTTGATTAGAATAATCAGAGTGTTAAAAGATTTTTGAGAAGGTAGGGGTTTGAAGTCATACACATTCTGCAGTGTAATGAGATGAATTTACACATGTATTGATGCCAGTTAGGTTAAAGGGGTAGATGGAGGGTGAGGACTTGGAAGGTGATGGGACAGGGCTGAATTTATATTTAGAGACATCTGTCTTTATCTGACTCTATGGCTGGGTGCTGGTTTTTGCTTTAGAAGGTATGCATTTTGTTTGCATATGTATATTAATGCACTTATCTGCTCTATGCAACACATACAGAAGTTCTTAGGAAAAATTTATCATGCAAAATGAAATGTGCACATCCCAGTGGGCGCAACTGGCAGATAACTTGTGTGCATCGATATTATGTACAAATTAGATTCATGATTTTTATTCTCTGTCCTTCAGGGAACAACCCATCTTCAGCACCCGAGCTCATGTCTTCCAGATTGACCCAAACACTAAGAAGAACTGGGTTCCCACCAGCAAGCATGCTGTTACTGTGTCCTACTTCTATGACAGCACAAGAAATGTCTACAGGATAATCAGTTTGGATGGCTCAAAGGTAAGTTTTGTTTCAGAAAACTTGCCTGTTTCATCAATTTTTGTGCTTGTTTTCTAGTCTGATGTCCTTCATTTGTCTTCTCAGATGCTTTTGTTGTTATCTGAGTAACAGATTACTGACATGTTAAAATTATAACATTGCTTCATTAAATCTTTTAAGTGTTTATTTTAAAATGCTATTTTCCATGCATTCATGTTTACTTTGATAAATCTGTTGATGAATTTAAGTGATGACCTGTTACTTAGTATTATGAGCAGGCTAAAAAGGTATTCCCTGTAAGATGCATTAAAAAGTACAGAGAGGGTTGCAATAAGCTGTTTTCATCTCCCCATTCAATGAGCTATCAATACCATTGCCTTCAGTGTTATGAAGGACATCTGTTCAGTGCCCGTAAGCACTTAGTAAATCCTTCTTTGTTATGTAATCTTCCGATTTTTGCCATAGAGAATGTGAGGATTCCCTCCTAATAAAGCTCTCTATAGTAAGCTTTTATCAAAACTCACTTGGTTTGGCTTGTTGGGTTTTTTGGGTTTTTTTTATTTAACTAGGAAGGATGAGTTGAGCTGCTGTTCCAAGAAACCTTGTCTAAGAAATTAATTTGACATGGAGAAAATACTCGACTGTTCCTTAGGTACCAAGTGGGTATGAAACCCCTGTAACTTTACAAACAGCATATCAGAAGTCTCAGCAATACGGACATAAAAGATATACAGAGTGTAGTAAAAATTGTGATCCTTTCAAGAGACTTTCATTTGCAACTGCTGGAGACGCATCAGTTCATGATGGTTGGAACTGAAATACTCTGCAGCTTTTTTTTTTGCAGCTATTTATTGAAAGCTGAAAAATATTATCCTGCATTTTTTAAAAATACCCAGAGTATTGATATTTTAAATGAGGAAGGAGAATTTCTATCATAAAGAGGTATATAGAAATGTCTTACAGTCAGAGATCTCTATATTATACTACTTTAAGTGAGTGAGACTCTGGTATCAAATCCTACTAGAATTTAATCTAGAAACTAGATTAAGTTTTACTTTGTTTCTTCCCTTCCCAGTCTTCTTTCAAGTCATTCTTTTAGTTCTATCAAATAATTAAAATACCTTTTGTCAAATAATTAAAATACCTTTTGTGTGACTGTTTATTTTAGCATTGGAACTAGGTGCTAAGTGAAGTCAAGACTACCAGTTGTAATCTTTAGCACCTTAATTGATCTCCACAGTTTATAAAATCCTTGTTCTGGTGTCCATTGGGGTTCTTCTGCCTTTGTCCAAAGCTGCAGCTTCTGCAAAGTGGCTGCTGAGTTAAATTGTCAGGCAGTTGTTCATCTATTTATTTGGGGTTTTGTCTGCTGCAGCATTTCCTTTACATTTGCAGTATTATTGGCAAGGTATATTGATAATGCAATCTATCACTTTTATTTACTCTCTCTGTGATTGCTGCAGTCCTAATAATGTTTTCATCCTGGTGTTACATGTCTGACTAAGATCTGGGATCCCCATCATGGTTAAGAAAGACCCATTGTTTTAGGCATCTCAACGTTGCTCTGAAACATACACATGTGAATGGCAGGGGGGACCCAAGGAAGAATTTTAAGGAGTTTTTCAGCAGAATTCCCAGATAATGTTTTAATTCAAGCCCCATCGTTTTTAACATGCACATGTATATAGTATAGTATGTAAAAAGGGCTAAATATAAATATATAAAACATTCTTAAGTTTGGAGTGCATATGGGAAGTGTCTCTGCTATATGGCGTACGGCAGGGTGTCAGTAACACTACTGGCATCTGAGTTTGCAATGCCTTGTATTGTTGACTAGTCAGACAGAAATCTTAAATTTGCAAAGGAGAAAAAGCTATGCAATTTAATTCTCCCATTTGAAGTGAAACTGAATGAAGATGATTTTGTAGTTTGTTTGGTTTTTTTCTGTTTGTTGTTTGGCTTGTTTTTTTTTTTTTTTAAAAAACCCCAAATTTTACATTGAAAATGTCTCAAATACACATGTTGCCAGTGGCCAAAAAAAACTTGTCAAACCATACTGGTTTTGAAGCTGTCATGCCCCTCTCTCAGAGGGAATAGACATATGATCTGTCCAGGTTTTATTGTAAACCTTGTTGCTGGTGGGGTTTACAGCACTCTGTGGGTTTGTATGGTGGAGAGAATGACTTGCATGTGGCTGCTCAGTTAAAGCAGCTGCAGTAACTCGGTGGTGGCAGCTCACACGTATGTTCACTTAGACTGCAGTAAGGAAAGTTTGAGAGTGAAACACTTTAGATTTGAATGATAATCCTATTTCTGTCCCGCACCCTTCCCTCTCTTTAGGACAGTGGATTCCGGTAGGATTCCTGGATAAAATGTAACATCTGTACTGATTGTCTGAATGTCATTAAATCTTTCTTCTTGAAAACAAAAGTACATTTTTAAGACGTGATCTTCACTCACCGCTGAGGGATGCTACTGTACATTGCAGATTCCCCCCTGAATTTGCTTGTGGGGGTCTTTGGTGTAGTTTGAGGAGAGGGTTTGTTTTTTTTTTCCTTATCCCATATCAATAGGTATGAGCCAGATTGAGCTGAGATAGGTCTTACAGAAGCAAGCTCTGCTTATTTTTAGTGCATTCTGTGTAATGTTGTTTTCTGAAGCTGCAGTCTCCTCTTAAAATACCTTGCACAAGAAATGATGCATCTCCGTCTAACTCAACTCCAGAAAATTTCCTAGGACCATAAGGTGTTCACTGTACCGGCCATAGTTTATAGTCACATGCAGTGTCTGGATCCCTGTTGCCCGTGGCAGGGAGATACTGATGCAAATAATCTGATAGAACTCAAGGCTGTTTTCTGTGACCTCTTGAGTAAGTATCTTTTATGCGACCTTTTTTTCCTACCACTCTAGGAGTCAAGAGAAAGCCTGAAAAATAAAATTTCTTATGCAATATGACATGACAACATTGAGCAGCTGTTGCTAAGGCTTTCAGTGCTCATTAATTATATAGTCATTTCATAGCTCCTTGGAAAAATGTGTTTCAGTACTTCTTTCTCCTAGGTGATGGAAGGAAGCCTCCATTATTTCTCCAGTAACACTGCAGACAGACACTGGGATTATTCCCAGAATCCCACTGTCTTTGCTGTTCAATCTCTGGCAGTCACTGAGAAAAGAAAGGAGATCAAGTAATGTGGCTCCTGCAATACTAGTTAACTCTCTGATAATTTTTTCACAGATGCAAGATAGGAAAAAAATACCTAATAATTTGTGCTCATCTAAAACAAGAGAAGACTCTGGAAAAGAGTGGTTTTACAGTCTGTAGGTTTCCTAAGTCTTGTGTGTATTATTTCTGAGTCAAGTCTCCCATCAGTGTTACTGCAATAGATGATCGTTGCATTTTAATGACTGCTGTAAAATAAACTAGTCACACGTTAAAGTGATAACCTTTTTAATGCTAAATACAAGTTTGAAGTAAGGCCTGTAAGCAGAGGTCTTCAGTTGTCTTCCTTTGAAGAAGTTAATAAAAATTATGTGTTTTAATTATTATTATTGCCATCAATTTAGCACAATGTGAAATCGCATTTCACCATGGCTGTGTGTCTTGCAGCTGTTGGGTTTGCAGTCAGTGAGACGAACAGCTAAGACACATGCCCTATTTTCTCATAGCTAAACTAATATGAAAGGAAAACATGAAAGCTATTTTATTATTCCAACAAAATCTAAAGATAACAAAATCAGTTTTCTTCAAAAGCTAAATGTCTGCCTGTCAGATTGACTCTGTTCTGTTTTTAAGATATGCTTGTACGTTTATACTAACAATGTTCTTAAAAGTTGATGAAATATTTGACACTTGTTATACTGGTAGCTACAGTGAAATCTGGCATAGAGGGGAGCTGTTAAAGCAGTACCTATCTGAGTAGACAAGACAGGCTTAATTATAAATTCTAATTTAAAAAATAAATCTTTATTTTTTTTAGCTGATGATATGAAGGATTCATATCTAGTATTTTCCAGAAGTAGCTGACACTGACTGTATCTGTAGTATGGTCTAGCATTGCACTTTTTAAAAGCATAATTAATTTATCATGTCAGATATCTAGCATGCTAATGATTTTAATTCAGAGAGGATTGAAAGTCTTGATTTCCTTGTAAAAATTGCAAATCTGATGAAAGGACTCTTTTTTCTGTATCAATGGGATCTGAATGTAGTCTTCCCAATGAGAAACTTGCTGGTTTTGGACTAGTACTGTCCACTGGAGTGAAGCCTCCTCATTTTTCTCTGCTGGAAGATAAGGGGAAGAATCACAGGGACTCTTTCTCAATACAATTACTTTTAAAAAATGTTTCTTCCTGCCTTTCTCCCTTGCAAGGAAGCAATTTGACAGTCATGGTAACCCAGCCTAAATGCAGACTGCTGTCAAAACATGTACTCCATTCTGGTCCCGGCAGCCTGGTCTGGGTTCTCTCGTGCAGCCAGCCATGTGGGCAGATGAAGCAGTGAGCAGTCGCAGCTAAAAACTGGTGCGTTTCTCCGAGGTTTTTCGCTGGGTTAATTTGCAACCAGATATGCCACTGTCATGGCAGCAAAAGCCAGTCCTGCAGGCTTTAAACCTGCCTGTTGCTTGGAGGTCGTAAGTCCCTGTCCTCAGAGCTGTCTTCTGCCTTGAGGAATTTACATCCATGACATAATGTGCACACTCTCAAATCTCTGATGTAAGTTCAAATTAATCAAGCAGCGGATGGCACTAGGGCTTAAGCAAGCTAGACAACACAGCTAGAGCTTGAGTTGGGAAGACTCTTTTCTACACTGTCCCCAGGATATTTAATTTCAAACATATTACTGTTGACAGCTTCCACAGCAAGAGAGATGGAGCATTAAGTGAACTTGCACAGCTCTGTTCTGGGCTTCCACCAGGTTATTTCAAAAGTGGGCTTCCAAGCACTAACAGTGCACCAGAAGACAGGAAGCGTGCAAGAAAAAAAGAGCTCCAGAACATCTCCTTTCCAAGAAGTCAACGTCCCTATGTCACTTAATCTCTTCTGTCCTATGTGGCATGGACAGCTGTTTTCTGTGAGGTCAGTTAGAGGCCACGGTGCTAGTGCAAGCCTGCTGGCTTTATTTGGGCTCCAAACCTTATGCCTAAAGAAAGGAGAATAATGTTTGAATTACCAATGACTTCACTGACCAGCTTCTCCTATATGAGAATCTGGGAAGACCTTTTGTGGACAATTAACGCTGGAGATGATTATCCAGTGTCTGATCACACAGCAAATCCTGTCCTTAACCTGATGAGACTTGTTGGTTCAAATCTAAGCTTTCAGGCATTCCAGAATTTTCCAGGAGTTGTTCACAATGGTAGCCAAAACTTGCATTTTGAGGCAAAGGTTATCAGAGAGGACTGCCTGTTTGATATCCTCCACCACATCCAGATTTGCTCATCTAATTTAATCTGAGTATAGCGGAGCTGCCAAAGCCGCTGCAGAAGATGCCAATTTTGTTGAATTCATCAGTACTGCCGTATCTTTGCTTGTCTTTCTACATGTTGTGATACAATGTGTTCTGAACTTTCTTGCAATGCTCCTCTCTGCCACTTCATCTGAGAATCACCATGTGGCCTGTTTGTGGGCTTAGCTGGCACCTCAGCTGTGAATTTTTCAGGCTTGCCCTGTAGAGTTCAGAGGAAATTTTATGCTGATGGTAGCTATGCTCCAGTGCTACCCAAATCTCAGCAAAAGCAAAGGGTGCTAAGTAAACTCTGTAACTACTCATTTTAATATCCACCCAGAAGGCCATCTCACACAAGGAGTATAAACTGATTTTTGACTTCTAGAAGATCTCGGGCTTGGGAGAGCAGTGCTTTGTCTCCCAGATGTTGAAGTTTCTCACTGCCGCCATCCTGAGAAAATACTGTTATTCTCTACACATTTGTATGGTTAATTTCATTATTTAGGACACAGAAGATGGTTTGGACCCCATGGATTTTGTTGTGGCTCTAGGATTCTTCAATAATCACTGGCTTTGAACTGCCAGGGGTAAGACAGGGGTTATGGTTTCACAGAAGCAGGAAACATGCACACTGATGTTCAAAAGATTCCCAGCTCAATAGTGTAGGACAATTGCAGTAAGACACATACTGACAATAACCTTTGGAGCACAGTAACTGGCATGTAAGAAAGATTCTTGCTGAATTGTTCTGCTCACAGTGTGTGCTATTTTCTGGGAAGTTTTAAGGACGTTTTCTTTCACGTGTGCGTTACAGAGCACCAGTGACTCATGAAATGGGCTGTGACTTATTTAACAAATATGGCTGAAACTCTCAGTAGCACCAGAGAGATGAGAGAGCATGCCTGCGTTTCACTTCAAATACAAGTATCTCTGGGTTTATGTCTAGTTTTTCTTGTTCATGTTGGCTGGTTATAAACTGTACTAACCATCAGTTTTTTGGTTAAATGGAACCCACTGGTGTCACTACAAGACTTTATCCTGACATACTTGAAGTCAGCTGGACAGTTCCACGTCGCAGATTTAGAATCTGTTAGACAAACTTTAATGTGGTGGAAATACTCTTGAAATCCATGGTAAAACTTCAGTTGCTTTTAGTGGAACCAGCATACCATCTAACAGTTGCATTTTTTGTTTACATTAGCAGAAGTTATATGCTGGAGAATGTGCTTCTTCCATCCTGTAGATAACAAGAACTGGAGAAGAAAAATTATTCTAAGAGTAGTTCTTCTTCTGTAGTTGGTGTATGACTGTCATTGTTAGACATGCTTGTGTGTGTATAAAGAAAAAACAGATTCTTGTAATACAGAAGCTTAAAGCAAAATTGTGCTTCTTGCTTTATTACATGTTTTCCAGTGACAATCGCATAGTGGCAGCGGGGGGGATTGCAACAGTGAAGCTTGTAGTGGAGCCTGAGAGGCGTTGCCTTAGGGGACAAAGCAATACGCTTGTGAGACAGAAAGGGACTTTGCTAGTTCTTCTGTTCTGATCTACTAGACTATGCAGATGCTTTAATGGACTTTTTTTAGACTTGCTAAGTACTAAATGACTGCTTGTAATTTCAAACACGTGGCTTTTGCTCCTTTTACAGCATATATGTGAAAATACGTTTTCATAATTTTAGCTTTCATTGAATTAGAAGAAAACTGTTCCCTAGTTCCCAGTTTGTGTCTCATTCAGTGTACAGAGATACTTGACTACAATATTGGCATTTTCAATTATGAGTAGTCTTTAAAAAAAAAAGCAAAACCACAAACCCTCTTTTTTACAACTGTTAATTTTTTTCAGGCAATAATAAATAGCACTATCACCCCCAACATGACATTTACTAAAACATCCCAGAAGTTTGGCCAGTGGGCAGACAGCAGGGCGAATACAGTCTATGGCTTGGGATTTTCATCTGAACATCACCTTTCAAAAGTAAGTATGACCAGCTAGTCAAAAGTAAGTATGATTCAGCTAGTCAAACGGCTTAACAGTATTTGATTCCTGCTCATTGTATCTCGACTCAGTGCTCACTGCTGTTGTTACTTAAAAATAATTAGAAAAAAATGTTCTGTATTGATCCTTATAATGTAAGAAGACAAGACTAAGTGTGATACCTGCAAATTTACTTTTGACTGATGGAGGAAAGGAGGGAGGTTTAAGCTATCACAGTGTACGCTGTTATCGCTTTCTAATTATTAATTTTTTTAGGTTTCTCTTTTTTCAAAGTTTTTCTTCCATTACAGTTTTTCAGGATAGAATTTAAGGGAGTTGACAAGGAAGTGTTTCTTTTGTATTTAGGTCCCCTAGAAAAAGGGGATCTTCTAAGCCACATTCACGTTCACTTTTCTACTATGTAATGCATCAAATTACAGGTATTTCAACATCTGCAAGCTTCAAGTAAAGCTAGTAGGAGATATATTCAGTGTAAAAGAAAACCACATGTTCTTGTTGGAATACAGAAGTTGAAATATTGACCAAAGATACTCTGTGCCATACGTGAGGGTTTTTTTCTGGTCTACTTGTGCAGGAGGGAAGTACATCTTCTGAGGAAAGCAGTAACTCCTGTCTCTCAAAATGATGGTATAGTTCCTCTGAGCACCCTTTCTACAATACCTATTGCTATTGATACTACTCTGGTAGATGAGTCCACAAACCTGTACCAGCCAATGTCATTTTTCTTCAGATGAGGAATTTCAGTGTAAAAACATGTCTCTACATTAAGCAGAGAATTTTCATCTTTGAAGTATACAAAAGATCTGGAAACCCAAATGTAATGAAAGGAATGTATAATACATGTGTATGTAAGGAATAACGATTGGCTTGTTATTTAAAAAGAAATGATCATACCAGCCCTTTTGAGAAATTGTCACTATCCAAGGATAAGCATGGGCCTGTTAGAAAACCATTAAAATGAGAACCAGTACATCTGCTTTATTTAGACAAGTGTTATACTTGTAAGATTTCTTCCTGGCATAATCAGATAGCTTTCATTTCTACGAAGCAACACAAACACAGGAAATTCTGAATGATACTAATACTGCATGTGTGTTTGTGCACCTATGATTGCTCCAGTGAACTTCAGAAACTCTGTCACTTACTTGAATTGGTGTGTATGTCCTAGACACACTTGCTTACCAATGTGGTAATAACTTTTCTTAATATTTCAATGGATTTAGCATAAATGCTAATTTATTTTACCCCTCTCATAGACTAGCTTGTTTTCTTTAATCACAGACTGCTTCTTTGAAAGCAAAGTGTCATGCTGTAGTCATGCACACTCTGTGTTTGCCTGACTTTAAACACTAGGTTATTCTTGCCAGTGAAAATATTTTGGGTTTCTTATCTGTCCTATCCTTGACTCTTTTCTTGCTCTCCCCGTATGATACTTGTTGCCTTCTTAACTACTGTTGTCTCAATCCCATTCTTTCACTGCCCTCAAACAGATGTCTAGAGTTTGAAGTATGCTCTTGGCTTAAAACTTTATATTGCTGTTGAAAACATAATCTTAAAAGCAACAGTAGATATTTTGTCTTAAGTACGTGTTTGATTAGCAGTTACTCAGATTGCTGTGTGTTACGAAGAGTACACAAATCTGTTGAGGAAAAATGCCAAGTCATAGACCTTTTCTGAAGCTTATGGTGATGAATCTCCAGGACCTTTTCAGCAAACTGTTCCTGTTGTATTATGTCTTAATTATGAAACTGATATTCATGTGAGTTGAAATTGCTGATTGTTGCTACTAAAATTCATAAAGGTAAAACTTTTTGTGTTATTTTAAAATTAACAAACATATTTGATGGGGAAAAAGAAACTTTTCCTTAGATTACAGTCTATTCAGTCACTGGAGTTCATAGATACGTTGGTCTTGGAATCAGAAAAGCTGAATTAGAAACCCTGGATCTGCTGTATAGCTTTAGGGAAACCACATCTATATTCTCTTCCTTGTCTTGTCTCTGTGCTCGGATTGCTAACTTTCACTTCTGTGCTCTGGCATTGTAGTAGGTTTACCAGAGCACTCTTAGGCACAACTAGCATTGTGGGACAGGTAGTACTGGATATTAGTAATAGGGCTAACAAATAAACCGTATTAATTGATTTGTTCAGAAACAGGTAGCTCCTAGAAGTTGCCTTAAAAATGGATTCTGGAACTTCTTTTCTGTATTTGATTCAAAGTCCTTAAGTGAACAGCCATGTTGTGTATAACTTGTTTTGCAGAAGTGTCTCTGGGCCCAATGAAATATTTAAAGTTCTGGGGAGCAAAAGACAGCCCACAACCACAAAAAATTAACCTCGTCTGTGACTGATTTCAACAAGTTAATGGAGCAAATAATCAGAGCAGAGACAATAAACTGTTTATTCTCAAATCATTGGCTGCTTAGCTTATAGTAAATGTTTGACTTTTGGACTACACTTTTTTGGTTCATGTGCCTTTAACCTCCTGAACTAATTACCAGGGTAGGGTGCAACAGCGGTAACCCCTTCCTGTACAATTATTGTGACTGAGAATTAGCAGAGTGAGAATAGCAGATAGAAAAATAACGGCACTCTGATCAACTTCACATACAAACAGTACAGAAGAAAATGAATTCAACTTTTATTTATCTTCATTAGACCATTTCTCAATATGTCAGACCACAACTTCACGTCAAGGTTGTTCCATCAGAAGTCAGCGATACCTGAAAGATGCTTCCTGTGTTGAAGAATATTCCTTTCACAGGATCAGGATTTGCTAGCAGAGTCCCTCTTGCTATTGCAGTAGAAGGAACAGACTGTCTTACGATTTTCAGAGAAAACTGAGACGACTTTCTCAGTCAGAATATAAGTCTGTGTATTTGATAATATCCTGATCTATGAGAGAAAATACTCGTTTGCAGGTTTGCTGTCCGTCTTACACCTTTGAATTAGTAGACCCGATTTTTTCTATATAACTTAAGAGTATGCTAACTGGCAAAAGTGCCACAACAGATAGTTGTAAGACCCTCTTGTACTCTCCCTGCACCATTTTTCATCTTTTCCTTAAAATACTGATCTTCCAGAGAACCTTTCATTTCATCCCGTAAGATCTCATCTTTATTATTCAGGAATCTTATCCAGAGATTGCTTTTATCCATCACCTAACTATCTCAAGGCATTCTAGTAAATTTGTGAAAATGTACACTACGTTACCCTTGTTGGCCCTTTCTTAGAATGTTATCTGTTTATCTGTCTATATTTTTTTACAGTTCCTACCACTGTGACACAGAAGATCACATTTATTGTCCTGTGTGTCTTCAGCCATTTATTCTAAACCTCAGCATTATGTTTGCCATTTACTAATCCTCTGATCTTAAAGCTGATTTAAATAATAGGTTACCCATCAGATTTTGAGGTCTATGTACAAGTCTTAAATAAGTATCATCTAGTTCCGGTGATCTGTTGCCAATTTTATCATCTCTTCTGACATGTTCTTTGATGCTGGATCAATTAGACTTCCAGGGTGGTATCTTTTGTCTCCTTCTATATTGTGGAAGCCTATGCTTTTAAATAACATGACAGGTGAAACATACCATACAAGTGGAGAGAAATGAGATTTCCTGTAATACTAATAGCCTGCCAATATGTTGCATAGCGAGCGAAGTTCTGGTGGAAAGTAGTTGAGGAGATTGTGTCACACAAAGAGTAGCCTTCATCCCTTCTACATACATGCAGTGCAAAACAATTTCTTTGTATGCTGTATGTTCTGTATAAAAGCAGTAGGAAAAAAAAACAACAAATGCTTGGCTATTATAGCAATTAGTGTAGTATCAAGCTGAGATCTATAAAGCCAAATTTTTCTCTAGCCAGAGAAACTAGGCCTTATCCTTGATAAATTGATTTAATTTCTCAAGCTTAAGGGTGCATGTATTTCTAAATTCCTGCTTTAGGTATTTTCTGGAAGAGGTACACATAGCATATAAATCAAGCTTCATGTTGCAGTTCAATGTATAGTTTGTGAATTTAGTGTTCAGTATATGCAAGTGTTGAGTTCAATGAATTTGTTCTTTAACTTGATTGATGTCAGTGAACAATCAAGAACTGATCTTGACTCAATATTCCCACTGCTGCTTTCCTAATTAGCTATTGAAATTATAAATGCCGTTAAAATTTGGGAAGAAATCAGTATTGTTTCAGTCATGAAAGAACGAAGCCCATCGAAGGTTCTAGGCTAACAGTGGCCATGGTAGGCTTCAGAACCAGATCATTTGGTGTCAGGAGAAGAGTAAAATGTGAATCTGAAAGAAGCTGTGTAAGGCAGCTTGTCGCTATTATTAGCCATCTCTGAGGTGGCTTTCTTTTACACTATCAGCAACAGATCGAACTTTGTTGCATCATAATTTTCCTGACATATAAACAGTGTACATTTTGTCTGAAAGGTACTGAAAGGTATATCACTGTGTAACTCACTTAAATGAGTATCTAACAAGGAGAAGAATTAAAAAAATTCTGCTGACAAAATTTGACTTTGTAAAATGTTAAGTACAGCATTCTGTTCTGCATGTAATGTACTATTTCACGCCTACACTTTCTCTTTTTCCTTTTTTTTAAACATATGTACCTTCAGTTTGCTGAAAAATTTCAGGAATTCAAAGAAGCTGCACGACTAGCAAAGGAAAAATCCCAAGAAAAGATGGAGCTAACAAGTACACCCTCTCAAGTGAGTCTTATTGCCTGATTCAAGCCTTGTACTTCGTATCTGAGCTATTACTGTATTGTATGTTACACACACATGTTGTATTTAAAATGAACGGGTTACTTGCCAGTTACCCTGAATCCTCACAACAGTCAGAAGTGTCAGTAAGTCTAAGAATACATTTAACGTACACTACAGAAGTGTCAAAGGGACTTACTTTAAAATAAAATTGGCCTTTAGTTTATTCCCATTCCTTACTTTGAGCTTTCCCAGAAAATGAGTAAACGCGGTGAGCAGTTATGCAAGTAAATCTACAGTAAATACCTTTTATGTTTTTTCTTATCGTATGTGTGAAACTTCAGGCAATGCACCCTAAAGGACTTTTATAGAAGAATCATTACAACAAAGATCAAAGTTAAAGCAGTAAACTATTTTTGCTTATTTCCTGCTGTGTAGTATTCACTTGTGAGATGTGTTGAAGGAAAATGACAGATTCACATGCTGGTTCTGGAGCTTTATTACAGTTAGCCATGATGTAAAAGAAGAGTTTATGAAAGGTATCTCAAAACATGAACTGGGTTAATATAGGCCTAAAAAGAGGATAAATTAATATAGTCACATTTACATGCCTAAAATTAATTTACTTGATTATTAATACCTTGAATTTGCTTTGAAAAAGGAAATTGCAAAAGCTTTTATGCCCCTCCACTCCCGCCCCGCTGCCCACTGTTTCTGGCTTTGTATGTATTGCTTTATTTTCAGCAATAGTGAAGACAAAGGTAATTCCTTCTCTTGGAGGATGAAGCAGCTGTAAAACTACAGCAGGGGTTCCTGAGCTGAGTAGGGTTAATGCGGCTGAGTCTTTTTTTCTGGGCAATGTTCATTCATTGAATCAGTGCGTCTCTTGGGTGCTTTGCACTGTAATGTGCTCCTGATCTCTGATGGAACAGGGGTGGCAGGCAGTTTGCAGCATGCTGCACAAATAGTTTTATGCCACCAGAAAGCTACATCTGGTGCTCTTCCAAGAGAAGTCGGTGGAAACCACAAGAATATACACAATGAACAAACCTCATGTTGTTTGCCCAGTAGGCATTTTGCCCAAGTGCTAGGTTGGCGTTTGCTATTAGCGGGAAACTGCTTGCTCTACTGTAACAAGAGAAAAATAAGGCAGTCTTTTTTGATTAGTTTTCTTGACTGTCTCTAAATTTCTGATAAATTCCATAAATACAGAGATAATGGAGGTACACATTTAAGTATTATAACCTTATATACACTTGGCTTTAGAAACAGTGAAGGGCTTCAGCCAGGCCTCTAGTTACTTGGTATCATAGGCAAAACAATTACTCTGCTTCTGTTTTGACATGCTGATTAACAGTCTGGGCGCAGAAGTTAAATCTGATACTGTCAAATGGAGTGACTTATTATTTGGTTTGGACATAAATTTGAACTACTCACTCAGAGACAAGATGCTTTTGTCTAGCAGCTGCCCAGGGTTAAAGCTTTCTCTTAAGCTGTATGAGCTATTAATATCGTTCATTTTCCTGAACAGATTTCCTTTTATACTTGGAACCTAGCATTTTATACTGTAGGCAGTTACAGAAATGTTACCTTGAGTGATTCTATAATGCACGTTGAGAGCTGCAATTTAATTACTGCACGCTGAGGAATAATTTCATATTCGGGCCTTACTTTTCATCTCTTGCCTTTTCGCTGTGTTGATAAGTTAGCATATTATTCTGAAAGATAGAGTTAGTGCAAGTGCTGACACATCAGCATAATAGTCTTCGCATACTTAATGCTTCTCATTAGTTCCCCAGAGAGAAGGGAGTTGAATCAGGAACTTCGGAGCTTGGAGCAGATGAGCAGCGATGGCTTCATGGCAAACTGCAGCACTTCCATGGCACTGGAGTGCATTCAAAGAGATCTGTGGCTATGGGGAAGATGGGTGCTTGGTAGTGGGGAGGGAAGGTGGGACCCTAGAGACATTTGAAGCAGCACTTGCTGTCATTTTGATCATCTGCCAAAAAGTGACTGCAAGGCAAATAATTCAAGTGTTGCCTTTCTCAGTCATTTTGCAGCTCTTCTTTCCCTTTTGCATAGTGATCCTTTGCAGAGAGGGAGAGTAAAAGAGGAAGGAGGTATTTTCAGTGGCCAGTCAAGAGTTCACAGGAACCAGCTTTTTTTAGGAAGCTTTGACAAGAAAGGCATTGGGAGGTAGCATGTGATTAGTGAGCTCTATAATGGCAACCCAGTTAGCTACAAGTGTCAATGCCTCTGCTGTCTTGGACTTGCAGATATCCTTCTGCATTAAAGTAATAACAGGTAGAAGGATACTGCATGTAAAAACCGGAAAATAACACATGTCAAACTTAAATAAAATGTTACATTTCTCTTCCTTCTAAAAATGCCCTTATTATTTACCAGTTAATTAATGTACTAGATATGGTGTATTGCCCACCTTCCCTGCTACACAATTCTAAAAGATAAAAAGTACGTGTGCTTTTTTCTGCATTCAGTATGTCCCTACAGATTCAGTCTTGATTGAAATATCTCTACAACTAGTGTAACAAAACCCTGGACAAGGTATTTGCTGTTCACTATTGTTTGATGTAACCTTGCAGATACTACTGGTATGTGTGAGTTTCAATTCTGAATGTCCTGCAAAAACTTGTTGTGAAACTAAGGACAAATAGAAAACAGGAGATAACAACAGAAATATCACATAAATATAATATGAATTTGTGGTTCAAGTCCTTAGCAGTTAGGCATGTTAAAACTTCAGAACAGTCTTACCTGAAGTCCACTGAGGTTAGGATGTTTCTCTAAGGTGTTACAAGCTTTAGCAAAGTGCTGGTACTGTTTGGCTAGGTATTTCCACCAGAAAAGTGCCTCAGTGGCCAGGAAGTAGTAGTTCCATGTTGAGTATTTTTTGGATACAGCGTTTCACCTCATGGGGTGTATTCTTCATCTTTTTTTGGTGTATTGTTCAGCTTTTTTGTGTTTGTGTATGCGGGAAACACATACTGGAAAGAAAATAATACATAGCCCAATTTGCAATTGCTTAATAGCAGGAGTTCCTTTTCCCCTAAGCTATGCTGCTGCTAATTTTAAACTCTGCATTTTTACTGTTTCTTTAATACTGCCTGTTCTCCTGCTATTTACCAGCAGGCTTTGCTGTAGTTTCCCAGAATATCAGATAATGTATAAAATCACCATTCACATTGACTGTAAAAACAACTTAAACTCATCCAGAGAAAGACAGTGGCCCGGACCAGCAAATCACAAGAGAGATGCTGCTTTGTTATGTGTAAGTCCCACTGAGTGCACAGTGCTTTCTTGAAATGAAGAGGAAAGCATTGTTTCTGTTTCAGAGAACTTGGACTTTCGACCCTTCTGCCTTAAGATGGATTCATATAATAATACAGCCTTTATCTATTTCTGGTATATCTGGAGGCTTCAGTCTAGAAAGAAGTTGTCTATTTTGGTACTTCTAAGACCACCTATGAACATAGGTACCCCATCTGGTGTCCCTTCGGTAATAAAGCATTAGGTTACAAAGCTTTTCAAGGCTCTTATCTTGTTTATACAAAACTAAAATACTGGCTTCCCTGCTGTGTCACCTACTATTTCCCAGACCGATCTTTTAATATAGGGAATTATTTTGCTTATGTCATAAACTCCTGGATCTTACAGTGACAAGACACCTATAGTCCATTTTCAGTTACAAGCTTACCTGTGAGCTGAAAGAGCAACACTTTGATCTGGAGTCCACTGAGCTGTGTGAAGTAATAGCCTGAAAACTGTCCTCCACCCCCTTTTTTTAAATTTCTTTTTTATACTAACTTTAATTAGGTTCAAGTACAGAACCAAATAAAGCAGTTTGTGGGCTTTGCAGTCTCACCCCATCAGTCTTACAACCACATGGAGTCTGAACCTCAGTTCTTTTTCTCCAAGCAGGAATCTGTCCTCAGATACTTCTTTTGACCCAGGTAATTTCAGATTAAGACCTCTGTTAATTCCTGAAACTCTGTGGTGAGTAACTTTCTCAAAATAGTGTTGTCTGTGATTCTGAGCCCCTCCTATGCAGACTACTAGGAATAGCTATTGCCTGAAAAGTTTTAGAATCACAACATTTTTTAGTGCGAGGAATGGGTTGGTTTTCGCAAAATTGTTGTGGTTTATCATCTGTTAGCTTTTTCTTTGTAGAAGTACAAAGTTTACTTACAAAACTGTGGAAAAAAGTGACTTTCTGAGATGTTACGTGAATTTCTACACCAGAACAAAAGTTTCACATTTTATGGTATCAGAATCAGAAGCTGGCAGATTTATTCTGTTGCCAGTCAGTACCAGACAGAGAAGTCCTATGAAGAACACCAATGCCACGGAAGTATATGAAATACTTAATGAGAAAACAGTATAACACTCAATAAGAAAACAAACTGGAATTGGTTTGGTTTGCTCATGATTTTACAACCACCTACTCCTCCTTTTCTTCTGTTCCATATCTAGTCACCATTAAAAGGTGGCTTGATCAGTGCTGTGAAGTCTGCTTGGTTTACTTTACTCTTTTGTGAATGCGTGCATTTTGCTTAGAAGATTTTGAAATTTAAGGCATCTTTTGACGAATTCCGCTCTGTTATGTTTAGTGAATATATTGTAGGCACAGTCATTTTTATACTGCCTGGCATCACCTGAATCCTGCATTAGTAGGGTCAGAGCTCCTTTAGATAGTGCAGATCTCTGACAAACTCTTAAATAGCAAAATATACCTGAGCCAGACTCTCACATTTACTCGTCATGTAGAAAAATACTAATCCTCAGTCCATGTTTAAGTCCAGGACTGGTGAGTGAGTTGAAGTTCAGTATCCTCCAGAAACCTATATATGATGCAATACTGGTTTTATACCACAGAAGAAGTATTAATCCTTTCTTCTCAAATGTATGAAATGTCTGAGTCAGAAATACCAGGCATTAAAATATATCATTGATTTACAGGAAGACTTGTTGTTTTGAATTTAAGCACTGTTTTTTCCATATAGCGTCTATACAGTTGAATATTAGAACTAAGTTAACCTGCTCTAGAAGGGAAGGGTGAAAATCTCTTTTTAAGCTGACATCAATTTCTTCCCCAACTCTGTAAAGTCTGGAGTGGACGTGTGAAGGTATAATGGTATGGAATAAAAACTTCATTACATATGAACATCTCACAAAAATGTTCCTGAAATTCTTTACTCTCTCTAATTAATAAAAAATGGGAACATATTATTTGTAATCATTTGCAAAAATTTTGTTCAGTTTAAGTGGCTTTTTCTGTTGCCTTTGGTGCTTTATTCCTATCCAGCTTCATTATAGTTGGCTGCAATGAAATTATTTACCAGGCAGGGATAGTTGTGAGTGCGTGAGAGCACTGATTAACCTGTATTATTGGTGGAAGAAATATATACTAGAATTTGATATTTCTCTTGTAAATATAAAATCAGCCCCTCATGGATTTGCAGGCAGTGAACCTCAGATATTACATAGACTGTGATGTTTGTCTACGTTAATTTTTGACACTTGAATTTTATTCACATTTGAAAACTATGTAAGTGCTTTACTGAATAATAAGCCTAGGTGGAACTTGCACATTTGTATTTCTTCTACTGAAATAATTTTTATGCATTCACACTTAAAACATTTTAATAAGTAGGCACTGCTTTATCTATCTAATAATAGTGTTGTAGGAATCTTTGTATTAAAGATACAAGGCATTCAGATTTTGTAGGGTGTGGTATGTATTTTTTAGAATATCTAGTGGACTTTGAGAAAAGGAGAAAATAAAAGAGAAAGTCTTGAGTCCATAAAGGTTTTCATTTAATATCAGGGGAAACTGTTTACCAAATCAGAGGATAATAATAGAGAAAACCATATAATTTCTAGAAAATACTTCATTTGCCTGATTATCTTGCCAACTCTGCTCTCCTTTCACACTTAATTTCAATTCAGCTTCAGTTCAGTAAAATTGTTCTGTAAAAATCAAGATTTAATTTTGACTTTTAAAGTATTAACACTTAAGGTAATAATTTTGAGTGTAAAATAACAAGATTCTTCCTGAAAGTAGGTAACAATTTGCATTCATATAATTAAAAAAATTACTTTTATGTTACAGATAACAGTTTATATCTGTGGAAGTAAATCTGTGTAAGCTTATTACTTCTGCTTTTTAGTCAGTAGGAGTGTAATAGGAAATTGCAGAATGGAGACACTGGTGCTTGTGCAGTGTATAACTTGATGAATGCTAAATATAGTAGAACTGGAAGTCAGTATTAAAATGTTGTATCACCCACTAATTCAAGTTGTAGAGTGAGGTGCATGTCTCTCACTATGTGAGAAATATGGCAGAATGAAAGCAAAATTTGGCACTTGTGCAGCAAATGCAAATTACTTAATTACATTAAGTAATTTAAAGTGCAATGAAAACATTGAACAAGATTTTGGTTAAGGGATACCAGAAAGGTGTGGAACGTGATGATGACAGCCAGATCGTATGTTCTTTAAAAGAACTGAGTTTTTCCATCTAGTTAAGTCTCAGAGTCAGTGATGACATTTCCTATGGATGGAGGATCAGATTCAGTATTGGCTTTCAAAAAGCCAATGTAACTAGTTCAAAAACTAGTTCAAAAACCCAATTGTAAACTAGTTGAAGGCTCCAAATGAAGGCTGAATTTTAAACCCTGATCTTGTAAGATCATGACTATGACCTTTAGAGGTCCCTTCCAACCCAAACTATTCTATGATTCTGTGGTCTTCAGATACTTTGCAGTTCCTTCTGAGCCTGACACTCTGCATAGGAAGCTGCATAGGAAGCAGCAAAGAGCTGCAAAGAGGAGTTGCTGCCTTTCCAGAGACTCTGCTTGTGCTTCAGTTTAATAGCATTAAGTAACAGCTTTACCTGTTCCCCGTGCAGATGGTAGAAGGCTGTGTGGCCATAGGAGATACTTAGATTTTGGAAATACCGTAATTCAATCAGTCCTCTGCTGTGCAGACACCCCTCCATGACATCTGTTGAACTCTGTTTGTGAAATTCTTCTATCTTGGAGTTAAATGTTACCACTTGGTTACTAAAGGCCTACTAAGACATTTTAAAATTGAGATGAGCTACTTAGCTTATATGACTCGCTTATCTCCTGCAAAAAGGAGAGAAAATACTAAAATTAAACCATGTACAGGGACTGAAAAGCCTGTGATGTTCTAACTTAGGATGTAGGGTACAAGAGTGTACTTTGTTTTTATAAAAAAAAAAGTTATTTTCGGTGACTAGAAATTAGCAAATGGTGTTTGTTGGCCAAAACATGAATGTACATGTTGCTGTGACGAAGGGTGATTAAAGCCGCACCAGTGCCTTCTGCTGGGAGGTGGCAATGAAGTTTTTCAGGTGTCCGGGTACACAGCAGTAGCAGAAGCTGCCTGGGTGTAGCTGGAGTATAGTGCTTCCCGGGTAATACCATGACCAGCAAGAGCCAGGCCAGGATAATGTGCCTACGAAAGTTCTGCCAGGACCCTGCTGAGCCAAGTGTTCTTTACGGATGGCTCATGGATGAAACAGTGAATGCACCACCAATGGCCCTTCCACTGTTCACTTCAGTTAATAAACAACATGAAAGCTAGATTTTGAAACAAGTATCGGAAGTGTTTGTTTCACCGTGTTAGAATATAAAATAAGAGATAAGAGTCCTGGGTGTCAGTAGTCACCCGTTGCGTAGCAGTATGAGGGCTGAATATAATACCAGGCAAGGGCGAGAGGTCTGTAATAAGCAGGAGGTTGGATACTTGCAAATAATTCATAGGTCAATTGTGTTTTGTACAAGATAATGTGGGTCTTACAGTAATACACTTCCAAATTAAGTTCACATGATGAAATAGGACCATGAGGGATGCTGGAGATCTGAGCCTCACATTAATACTACCTACTATTTGTGTATCATTTAAGACTTAGTGTTAGCGCTTATAGACACACAGCCTTCCTGAGCATGTCAGTTTGTAATTTTAATGTGTTGTTTGTTTTATTTAAGGAATCAGCTGGAGGGGATATTCAGTCTCCCTTAACGCCAGAAAGTATTAATGGGACAGATGACGAGAGAGCGACGCCGGAAGTGACGCAGAACTCAGAACCAAGGGCTGAACCAACCCAGAACGCATTGCCATTTACCCATAGGTACAGATTCCATTCCCACATCCTGATTAAGTGATGCCTGTCTCCTTCCTTGTTAAAGGGACCTTCTCCGATATTGTGTGGGAAAAAAAACCCACAAACTCAGCCTCCCCAAAAAACCTCATCTGGCTTCTAGATTTGCAATATAATCTTTAACAAAAAAAAAAAACGAGTATGAGAAAATATCTTGGAATAAGATTCGAGGGGATGTTACTTTATAGTTTAATCAGCTGAACATGAGCCCTTGAACACTGGTTAGTGCAGGTGTCCCTTTAACAGGAAGCATTATTTCAATGTTTGAGGTCTTAGAAAAATTAACTGCTTCATAGAATATTCCAATTAAATTATTTTTGCACACATTCTTTAAATGACTGATAGGACTGGATGTCAGCCTTTCATTGACGAGCTGTTGGAAGAAAAGGGACTCTCACAACACTTCTGGATTGTGAAGTTTAAAGCAGCCTTTAATTGAACAGTTCTCTGACAGTTGAAAACGTTTTTCAACTTTTTTTGAAATATGAGAGAAGCGTAGTTGCTTCAGAATGATTTCTAATTTGTTGCATTGGGAATGCTGTGCTCTGTTGTTCTTCAAGAAAGCTAGGACTTTTTACTGAATGGTACAATTAATGAGCTAAGATGGATATATCTCCCCCGTTAGAAACGATTGTAAATGGGACACTCTCAATAAAATACATAATGTATTGAGACCATGGAGAGTAACTGAAACATTTAATAAACTTAGAACAGAGCTAGAAATACTAGATTTATTTTTTTAAACATTGTCTAATTCAGTTTAAGTAGAGTTTAAGAGCTCTTGATCAAAGGTTGGGGAATACTAGGATGTGAGATGCGTCATGCAGTTCAGAATGAGCAGAGATGGAATTGTGCAGGACTTCTCATTTTTTTGTAAGAGAATACTACTATTAAACGTATATGGAAAAAGTAATATACATTTTCAAATGAGAAAAAAAATTATACTTTTGCACTAATTTTTTAACAGAGTGATTGTGTTTATTTTTATACTTCAACTGTCACCAGTGCATCTATTACATGTTTTAGAAGAATGGTGCTTTGTAAGAGTGCTATGTGCATGTTGAAGGAGTATTACAAATGTTGCACATCTATCAGTGTTCTGTAATGAGTTCATTTAAACTGTTTGTGTGTTAGAATTCTCTTATCAATATTTTTGTGAAATGGAGTTGTGATAAAGTCGGCAAGTAGTGTCTGTTTTTTTCAAAAATGATAGCTGCAAGATCTTCCCTGTTGTTCTGCATATGTAAATATGTTTTCTGGTATGCCAGTATAGCAACTACGCTTTGCTCTGCATTGAGCATGACTGAAGATGCTTGTTGAAACTACCCAGTTGTAATATTTGATGGTGTAGAATAGTTACAAAACTTTTACGTGCTTTGCACGTTTCTATCTACTTCATGTCTGCGGTGTAAGTGCCTGGTTTTAGTTTTTTGTCCTGCTAAATACCACTAGCTAGAATTGGTCTTCCAGCAATAACTCTGCATTTTGAGGGTCACTACTCATGATGATTCTCGAAAGATCAGAGTTTTGTCTTGCTAATGGTAGCTTCGAGTTTCTTACTGAGCTATTACTGAAGAAAATGCAAATTTTTAAAACCCTTGAAATAAATTGAATTTTGGACTAGATAAGGTTTTTATTACAAGTGAATAAGGATTATTTGTTTATTTTAAATAAATAAAGATGCGTGAAACATGTGCATGAAAGAAATGGAAAGTGGAGCCTCCAGGATTGTGTTAGTTCTGGTGAAATGGGCATGTTTTTGTAGAGGCATTTCATAATACTAAATTGGCAACTAGGTAGACATACCTAAGTGCTTGTGCTGGCTTGAAAGAGTGCTCTCTGCAGGCAGTCTGCTTGCTCTGATTTAAAAGAAAAAAAAAATTGAATTTAAAACCTTACACCCCAATCATTAGGGAGTCCCTGGTCTTTTCGTGTGTCAGGGGTACAGGAAGGGACTGTGCTTCTCATTGTTCCCTGCCCTTCTGATGATGCTGTGTGTTGGTGGCACTCTGTGTGTGATAGAGAGGAGCTGCTGAACTGAGCCCTCTCCCTGTGTACCCTGGTGACACCTGCTGATGGCTGAGCCTCCTCCTCCTGCCCCTTGCCTTTCAGCAAAGGTAAAGTTTAGCCAGTGCTTCTGGGTGAGGAGGATAACGCTGGTAGGGCATTCAAGTTCCCTCCTATGCGTGACAATGCTTTTTACATACTTGCCTTGGAGCTGCTGATCAATCCTTAGGTGCTTTTCAAAAGAAGAGGTGGTGTTGTCTTCCCTCCAGTGAGTTCAGTGATGGGGGACATGAGAGTCCCTGAGGCTGGCTATGCTTCACTCCAGTAACACTAGCATAGCAAGTTCATTTCTTCCATAAATACGAAAGCTGTTTTCTGCTCTGGCATTGGCAATGCGTGCTTACCCTGGGAAAGGACCAAAAGGAGTGGTCCTCAACGTAGGCTGGAGCACAGGCAAGGCATGTGTGGGGCTGCACAGCAGGAGCCCAGCAGCCATGGGGCAAGTGTTGGAGCTTCGTGAGCAGGATGAGGTGCCGTGCCACTGCATGGAGAGGATGGCTGGTGAGGTGGGAACCGCATTGCTGCCGAGAGGGTCGGCACAGTCAGCCGAATGCAGGTGTCTCTGCGGCAGAGGACACGGGTGAAGGCTTGAAGGGGGCGGTTGTCAAAACAGTAATACAGGTCAGGGCCTCTCGTGTCTTTATATGAACAGGAAAGGGCTGACAGGAGTTAACAAGGTCAGAAATGAGAGGTGGGGAGGTCATGCTTTAGTCTACATCTTACTACTTGTCATTTTTAATCTGCACACCTGCAAAATGTTCAATTTGATTTTGTTATAACACATCCTTGCTGGCCAGTTATGTCCTCTTCTGCAAGCGTTCCTCTCTGCTCTTTGTGTGTCTTAGTGCTTGGGGCCTGTTATTTCAGCAGCATGAGTATAGACTACGCTGGTATTTATAGTTATTTTCTGACCACTTACCCAAAGGCTGAAAAATGGCATTACTTAAGTCACCAGAGTTTTGTCACAGAACCCAAATTTCTTATTATTTCAGTAAATAATTGTAAGTTTTGAAATGAACATTCTCCAGTATATGTCTACAATCACATTCGTATCCCATAAGCGTAACAGAGTAGAAGTCTAGTTGCTTCAATTTACCCTCATCTGTAAAGTCCTAATGCTGTTCACAAGCAGTGTGACTCCAGTCAACTTCTTGAGAGACGAGGATATTAAACAGCTACAACAACCCTTGCACAGAAGATAAACTCTTGCAATTAAACATCTTGCCTTTTTTTAAACTATCTATGATGGTTAATGTTGAATTATGAAGTAATATTACTTGGGAACTCCCGCATTTTATAATGTACTGTAGCCTGAGCACTCCTCTCATGAGTAAATGTTGCCAGAACAAATGAAAATAAAATGTAGCCTAAGCCTGGCATTAGAATTTTTAAAAGTCTTGGCTGAGACACTTATCAGTCCTTTTCTGAATGATAGCTAGTCTAGGAAGGCTTTTTTTCTAACAGAGGATAGTTAATCAAATCAAATATTTAAAACAAGTAACACTTTAGAAAGTATGTATTTTTGTTCTTAAGTAAATCTTAAGTTTCCTCAGACATCTTCCTTGTTTAAAAAATCATTTCCACATTCTTTAAATTGTGGTATTATTTTTTTTTTTTCAACTGAAAACTGTTGATCATAAAATGGGGTTTGGAGAGAAAAAAGTTGCTGAAAAATTTTAACCACTTCTGATGTGACTGTCTTTTAAATAAAAGTTTTAATCCTGATGGTGCATAGTATACAATTCCTGGTCATCTGAATGAACCCAAAGAAATACTATACTAAGCTTATTCAGCCTTAGAATATAATTCAAATATTAAAACTGAATGGTGTATTTGGCAAACTCTGCAATTGCTGCTTGGGGCTTTTTCGTAACTGTTTGGTGAACTTGCTCTATCTTTACCCTTGAAGAGAATACATTTGTTTATAACAAGCTTTATTGCATTTTTGGCACCTTTTGAAGCTGATAAAACACACTTTCAGAAACAAAATGTAAGAGGATTCTCCTGGGATAAATCTTGAAGGTCTTCAATTTCCTGTCAACTGTGACTCGAACCTGTTGCCTCATTTTTTCTTGTAATACGTAATCTTGGAATCTCTATTACATAATGTTTTGATCAGACAATATATATGTGTGTGTTTGTTGCTTGTTCGTTAAAATTCATATTTTTGTATTCAAACAAGTTTTTAGTAGGGAATTTTGACTCCATTGCCTTAGTGAAAATGGACTTATTTCAAATGATGTTTATATCGTAGATGTGTTATTGTCTAGATAGCTTACCATTTAATAATGCTGCATGTAAATCCAATGCTGTACAACAAAGAAAAAAAACAAAGATCATGCTGCTAGCTCATGTTCCTTCACTGAGTTTTCATTAAAAGTTGTATGAAGAAATCTGTTTAGTAGATTTTTCACTTTGTGTATTAAAACTACTCACTTCTACAAGCTTAAATATTTTAGTTATGTTACAGTAAAAGTACTTCGTGTCTCATACTGAACTGTTAAATTGCCCTTAAGGAAAAGTTTTGAGTTAATTTTTGTAGTGTTTTGTAATTTGAAATTATACCCAAATCCTAGTATTTGGATGTTCTTTATAAGGTTGTGCATAGCTTCCTTACCAAGTAGTCCTGGGGGGGTGTATTAGGATTTTTTTCATTTTAAATTCTTGTTTTTGAATGTTATTTAATCTGATCGTAGGATAATTTCTCATGAGGAAGTTTAGGAGCTCCCTAATCCAACCTCCTGCTCACAGAAGGTCAGCTAAGAGATCAGACTAGGCTGCTCTAAACTTTATCCAGTTGGATTTTGAAAACCTTCCAGAATGGAGACTGCTAAAGCACGGCTTTTTAAAAACTTTTCTCTTTAACGTAAAAGGCACTAACTGTCTTCATGTTGCACAGTACT